CATTCTTACCTTTAAATTTCAAAGGTTAGCATCCCCCCAACCCCCAGAAAAAAAAGGTTATTAAGCCTAAACTTTGTAAATAAACAAAATTTTAAAACCATTTTTTAAATATTTATTTATCTAAAGGAGGTTTCCTCTGTTGATGACCTGCAGGTAAAAAAAAATCTGAATAAATATTAAAAACATTTTGTAAAAACAAAACATTTGTTCAAGGTTTCTAGTAAAAATAATCCTCACGTTATTTTCCAAGTGCTGCGCTCAGGTTTTAGTGAGGGGGTCTTCAGGTTGATCCAGGTCTTCAGATCCAGCTCCTGTCCCTGCAGCAGACGCTCCAGCAGCTCATGTCTCCTGTCACGTTTTAGAAAAGCCTTCTCTCCTCCTCCTTCTCACTCCTGTTCCTGATCTGATTCATTCAGTTCAGCGTAAAGAAACTTTCAGTCTAGATCAACACCTGGTGCCAGACGCTCCCAGGTACCAGGACAGCCTGGCCAGACGCTCCGGCTGCCTGTGGCTTGGTTCGCCCCGCCAGACGCAAAGGTAAGACCAAGACTTTTTTTAAAAACACAAACTTGAAACCAGGACCTGGTGCCAGACGCTCCCAGGTACAGGACAGCCTGGCCAGACGCTCCGGCTGCCTYGGGCTCTGCTCGCCCTGCCAGAGGCTAAATCACACCTTTAAGGTGCACAAAGAAATATTTACAAAGCAGCTGTAGCAAGACGCTACGAAGCCACAGTACACCTGGCCAGAGGCTCAGGTGTTTAAAACCTGTAGGCAGCAGGTTTGTGCTCCAGTTGTGGGAYGGGCCTCAGATCTTCAGAAGCCCACGGTGCTGTCATCAGAGGACGGAGAGGAACCTGACGGAGGAGAACGGTGTTAATTTAATCATTCATCCTCCGCCTCTTGGCACTAACCTGATCGGATCGTCACATCTCCCTCCCCCAATGCTGACGTCCGAGCCATGGCCAGAGCGTTGTCGTCCTCCACCTCCCACGGGAAAGGTCGCTCGAAGTACCTCCGGAACCCCACGGTGCTGTCATCAGAGATCGAAGAGGTACCTGGAGGAGGAGAACGGTGTTGGTAAGGACTGTTTGATCTGCGCCTCTTCGCACGAACCTGTTCGGATCGACGGGCCTCCCTCCTCCTCTGTGAGGAGCCGAGGCCTGACGTCCGAGGTGCAGCCGGAGCCCCAGCCGGAGCCCCAGCCGGCGCGTCGTCCTCCTCCCACGGGAAAGGTCGCTCGAAGTACCTCCGGAACCCCACGGTGCTGTCATCAGAGGTCGAAGAGGAACCTTTAGGAGGAGAATGGTGTTGGTTAGGCCTGTTTGATC